CAGACCAGTAAGAGGGGTGGAGTCGGCGGCTGGCTGAAAGGGGTCGCGGCAAGAGAAAGCAGTGGCTGCCAGACTGACCCAGGCACTCAAGCAGCGGTTGGCAGATCCCAGGCGTGGAGTGGCAACAGGCAGACCCAGTGAGGGCGCCAGGTGGCTGGCTGACTATGGACACACATTCACACAGATAAACCAGGCAAAAAAGCAGACAGTGAGACAGACCACGCAACCCAGGGCTCCAGTGACGGAAATTAAAGCCTAAAAGCACCAAATGGAAAAACTTTCCAGGCTTGAGGCACCGGGAGAGGCTCTCAGCCTCACAGGAGAGTTCACTGGAGAGACCCAAAGGGTCCTAAAATGCACACAAGCACACCCACCTGGGGAACCAGCACCGGAATGGCCCAATTTGCTTGTGGGAAGCAGCAGAGGGAACCAAAATCCAACAGAACAGAAAAAACACCACTGCTCCCTCTCTGACCCCACCCTCACCCCCAGCGACCTGAGTTGTCCCATCCTGGTGAACACCTAAGGCTCCGCCCCTCATACATAACAGGTGTCACCAGACCAAAACATTATGGCTCAAGCAGAAGAACAGCTCACAGCCCCAGAGCCAATATTTCTAAGTGACAAAGAGATAGCCAACCTATCAGATGCATAGTTCAAAACACTGGTGATTAGGATGCTCACAGAACTGGTTGATTTTAGTCGCAAATCAGATGAAAAAATGAAGACTACATTAAATGAAATAAAGGAAAATGCACAGGGAACCAATAGTGATGAGAAGGAAACTGGGACTCAAATCAATGGAGTGGACCAGAAGGAAGAAAGAAACAACCAAATAGAAAAGAATGAAGAAATAAGAATTCAAAAAAATGAGGAGAGGCTTAGGAACCTCCAGGACAACTTTAAATGTTCCAACATCCAAATTATAGGGGTACCAAAAGGGGAAGAGGAAGAACAATAAGTGGAAAGGTTATTTGAACAAATAATGAAGTTGGCTGTCCAATGTTTCCCTCACACATAAACATTTCTTTCCCTCTCTTTCTCCTTCCCTTCCCCTTTCTCTAAAATAAATAAAAATAAGAAGACAACCCACACAATGTGAGAACATATTTACCGATACATTTAATAGGGGATTAATATCAAAATTTATAAAGAACTTCCAAAACTCAACACCAAAAAAGCAAGCCAATTAAAAAATGGGCAAAGGACCTGAATAGATATTTATCCAAAGAAGACATACAGATAGCCAATAGGCATATGAAAAAATGCTCAATGTCACTAATAACAAAGAAATGCAAATTAAAACCATAATGAGATATCTCATACCTGTCAAAATGTCTATCATCAATAAGTCAACAAACAAGTGATGGTGAAGATGTGGAGAAAGGGAAACCCTTTTGCACTGCTGGTGGGAATGCAGATTGGTACAGCCACTGTGGAAAGCAGTATGAAGATCCCTCAAAAAATTAAAAAAGGATCTGCTTTTCAACCCAGCAATCCCACTTCTGGGAATATATCTGAAGGAACCTAAAACACTAATCTGAAAGATCGTAACACTCCCTATGCTCACTGCAGCATGATTTACAATCACCAAGATATGAAAGCAGCCCAAGTATCCATCAGTAGGCGAGTGGATAAAACAACTACGGGACACTTACACAATGGAATACTACTTGGCCATAAAAAAGAGGAAAATTTTACCCTCTGTAACAGTATGGATGAACCCGGTGAAGATTATGCTAAGTGAAATACGCCAATCAGAGAAAGAAAAATACCAAATGACTTCGCTCATATGTGGAATCTAACGAACAAACTGAACTGACAAAGAAAATGGGGACAGATTCATATATGGAGAACAGGAGGAGAACTGGAGGAGAGGTTATCAGGTGGAGGGATTGAGCAAAAAGGAAAATGGACTCACAGATGTAAACGACAGTGTGGTGATTCCTGAGCAGAGGGGGGATGGTATAAGGGGATTAAATGGTAATAGAAAAAATATATAATAAAGATAATTATATATATATAATATATAATAAAAATAAAAAATAAGTAAATAAATAAATAAAAAGCTAAAACAAAATTTATTTTAAATACACTTAGTCAATAAGAATACAGCTGATATACAGACTACACTAATAAAAGATCTACATCAATCAAGCCAACCAAATGGCAATTCAAAATTTACTTTAAACTTTAGTAAACTGATTTGGCTATACTTATCAACCTCTATAGTTCGTCCAACATTAAACACAACACTATACATCCTTTACCCCTACTAAAGCAAAGTACCTGATAATAAAAGCTAACAAACTGAGAATATAGTATGTGCCATATCAAAGTATTTTAATCAGTGAATCCTAATATAACCTTGACAGACAGGCAATGCAGTTCCAAAAAGTAGAAATAATAAAATGACATTTTCTGATATTACTGAAATAAAAGTAGGAAAACAAAATAAAAAATCAAAAGGCCCTCCCACCTGGAATTTTTCAACTTTCTATTGATGATTGAAAAAAATCATGATTAAAAAACCATATCAGACTCTGTGGAACAAATTAAAGCAGTAATTACAGGAAATTTTACAGTCTTAAAAATATCAAAATGAAAGAATAAAAATAAATGAATTAAGTTACCAACTCAAAATGCTAGCAAAAGAACTACAACATTAACACCAAAAAACCTGGTGATCCTGCACTACAACATTAACACCAAAAACCTGGTGATCCTGCACTAGAATTGGAATTATCAGTATGACCTGAAAATATAAAGTCATAATGTTTTAAAAATTTATTTCCCAGCCCTGACCACTAAGAGGGCCTATAAACAATGGTATACCAGTAGGAACAAGCACAACTTCTGCTCAGATCTTGGTTTCTAAAAACCATTTCCCACTAAAATTAATCAGGATAGCTGATTACAGGTCTAAGATAGAACAAGCAGATCGTAAGCCCTTCTTGCACTTAAGTGCTCAAAAATTGATGGAAACATGTCAAAAGATCATGAACCAGCTTGAACGTGTTCCTATTAACCAAATTTGAAACAATTTGCTTATCAAAAAGGAATAAAAAGTTTTAATAGATTACAGGACAACTATAAAAACATCATGACATACAGTGGTATAAAAAGAGGGAATCAGTCCTAGTTCCAAAGGTATAAACATTCATCAAAATGTACACTAAGACATACACATTTTACTATATGAAAAACATAGCTCAAGAAAAAGTATGGGTTGTTCTTTAAAGAAAAAGTCTTGAACAAATATATATGCCGGGGGGTAGAGGTAGTAGCAGGCAGAGGAGGCAAAAGAGAAAGATTTCACAACTGATATACTGAAATAATTAAAGAAGTCATACGGGACAAAAGTAAATTATCCTTGGAAAGAAAGGTACAGTTTACCTAGATAGTCAGAGATTAAGAATGAATATTAACAATTCTGTGTACAGGGCAAGAAGCTGGGAGTTCTACCAGAAAGCCTTTTTTCTTTCTTATTAAAATAGGAAACTAAAAATGAGGCAGACTGACAATATAGTAACTAATAAATATGAGTTTAAGAAATTCTTAATTGCGTTGGGAGTATAAGACAAAACTGTACTTGAACAATAATTAAATAAATATAATAAAGAAAAAAAAGAAATTCTTAATTGCAAATCCTGAAATGGTTCTAGTTTCTACTTATTTCAACCAATCTGACTCCAGTGACAGTTATTACAATGGGTAAAAGCATTCTGTACAGTCCCTATTCTTGTACCAAGAAGCAGAACTTTTTTTTTTAGAATAAACATCAAAAGGGATTTCATCACAAGCTGGCAACTGATTAGAAAGGCAAGGCCACTTAGAGCATCTCTTCAGCCTTGAGTCACTATGTCAAAGAGACTACTACTCTTCAAGTGTTTCAGGTCTTGAAATAGAATCGTGACCCAAAAGTGATCACAACCATAGCAATAAAATCACTTAATGACTAAACCAGAGTTTATTAATTTACAGTGGGGCTATCACTTTCCAATGAATTTCCATTAAATGCATATTCCCCATGCAAGACACCTCTCTTTCTGCTATCAAAGTACCTAAGAAGCTAAGTTAATGAATCAGGAGGTTATTTAATAGGCATAAACTCAGAACAAGGGAGGGAGACATAACCTTAAAGAGAGATATCCTTTGAGCTCTAAAAAGCAGCATAAAGTATCACTAGCCTGCCTCTCCAGTGACAAGACTCCTTACCATCCCAGATATAGTGTCTCTTCTCATGGACTATCTTCCTTCTCTGATTCCCACTTTCAGTGTAACCCATTTCCATTCTTTTAACACAGGGTTTTTTAGATCTATTAAAGTCAATTATTGAAATCCAGTTAAGTTGTATTTCAATCTACTCATGTGTTTAATTTAAATGGATCACATCTCAGAGTTCTAAGGGCACCTTACTTTTCCAACTTACAGACTTGTTTTTACTAAAAACTTTAAAAAAATACAACTTTGGGAAACCACATACATACACACACAAAAAGGGAACAGTAGAGGGAGCAAACAAAAAGAAATTAGGGCATTTTTCTTCTGATGCTTTCAATAAGCTTTGAAATTACTTTACGTTACAAGAACACTATAGAAGTTATATTGGAATAGTCCAGACACTAAGAAAGTTGTACTGTGGTTTTTCAAGGAATGACAAGTGAGATAAGAATTACTCTTTCCTACTCCTCTCATTTCTGCTAACCATGAAAATAAAATGTACCAGAATTCATCAGCATGTCTGTGAAACTGATCCAACAATATTCAGTCACCCTCTGATCTGTCATCCCCATCAAAAACTGTTCAAAATGAACAGAAGTTTTCTAAATCAAAGCAGACTGAATTTTGTAATTTCTTCCCCATTCATCTCAAAAGTAACTGAAACACAGGTCTCTTCAAGTTTTAAAGAGTAACAACATGCAACTGACCTCCCATAACCAGATGAACAGTCAATACATTTAAAACTCCTATTATAAATGGCCCATGGAAATTGATACCTGAGACTTGACACGTCTTGTTCTCTTTGGTAGAGTGTTCATTCTTGTGCCTGGCTCTGGGGAAGTTTGGACATCAGTGCCAAGAACCTCAGGCTCCACTTTTTCCTTAAGATCTAAATTAGGCATTTGTACACCCTAAAGAATCAGAGCACAGAAAGAGAGCAGTTTCACTGATAAGAGATCAGATATGAGACTTAGGGGAAAAATAATATATTTACAATAAATCCCTAATGCTACACAAAACCTCAGATGGCAAATCTCCCACCGAACTGAGCTGCAGATTCAAGTTAATCCCTATCAAAACCTAGCAGGCTTTGGTAGAAACTGAGAAGCTGATCCTAAAATTTATGTGGAAATGCAAACTGTTTAGAAATTCTGGAAAAGAGAATAAAGTTTGAGGACTTATACTACTGGATATCAAAACTATAAAGCTACAGTACCCAAGACAGCAAAATATTGGTGTTAAGGTAAATATACAGATCAAAGAACAAAACAGACCAGAAATAAATCCACATGTTTAATGTCAACAGATTTTCAACAAAGGTGCCAAAGTAAATCAATAGTAAAAGGGTGGTCTTTTAAACAAATGGTGCTGGTACAATTAGATGTACAATTTATTCATATACCACTCTGCCCATCAGAAAAAAACTTACTTTTACCTTATACTATACACACACAAAAATAACTCAAAATGGATCAAGACCTAAATAAAAAGGCTAAAACTATGAAATATCTAGATGAAAACAAGGAAGAAAATTTTTGTGGTCTTGGGTTAGGAAAAGGTTTCTCAGTTATCAACAACGGAAAAGCAATTCATAAATGGGGAAGGAAAAACAGAATCAATAAATTACTCTTCAAATAGACACCATTATAAAATGAAAAGATAAACCACACACTAGGTAAAAAGCATTCTTAAAAATCACTTGCCAATAAAGAACTTGTATCTAGAACATTCAGTGAACAAATACAAGATGAGAAACAACCCAATAAAAAAAGATTTGAACAGACAGTTCATAAAGGAAGATAAACAAAAGGCTAATGTGCACATGAAAAGATGCAGAACACCATTAGTCATTAGAGACGTGGAAATTAAAACCACAGTAAGATACCACTACACACCCACTACAATGGTTATAAGCAAAAAAACTGACAATACCAACTGGTGGCAAAGATGTGGAGATATTGGAAACCTCTACATTATTGGTGCAAATGTAAATGGTTCGGCCACGTTGGAAAACAGTTTGGCAGTTTCTTAAAAAGTTAAACATAAACTTACCATATAACCCAGCAATTCCATTCCTAGGTATCTACCCAAGAGAAGTGAAAACATATGTCCACACCAAGACTTGTACCTGAATATTCACAGCATTATTCATAATAACCATAAACGGGAAATAATCTGTCTGTCCATCAACTAGTACTGGATAAACAACTATAGTATATCCATACAATGGGATATTATTCAGTCATAAAAAAGAATGAAGTACCAATACATGCTAAATCATGAATGAGCCTTAAAAACACTAGGCTATGTGAAAGCAGCCAGACACAAAATCATATCGCATGATTCCATCTATGTGAAATTTCTAGAAAAGGCAAAACCATAGAACCAGAAAGCAGATCAGTTGTCTAGGTTTGGGGGTAGGAGCAGGAACCAACTACAAACACACACAAAGGTATTTTGGGGGCTGCTTGAAGTGTTTGTAAAACTAGACTGTGGTGTTTTGTTTATTATAGCTTACCGACTGTGTAGCTACAATGAGTGAATTCTACAGTATGTAAATTACACTTTAATAAAGTCATTTAAAAAATATATAAAATGAAGAGCAGTAATCTTTCAAAAAGCTTAAGCCAAAGGACCTATTTTAAATAACTACCAAAACATCCTTTTTTTCCCATCATCCTTTATCTTGTAAACCACCAAAAATAGCTGATTTTTAAACTACACCTTATTCCCCCAAATTTTGGTACCTCCCACACATAGCCAACTGTTAACTAGTTATGGTGAACACAGTCTAAAGTTTATACTTGGCAGACTGAACTTAATCCACCCCTTAAAAATATGTGTGTGTGTGTATGTGTGTGTGTGTGTGTACATACACACATATCTCACCATAAGGCTGACACCAGACTGGAAAAGCTCATATGGGTAGAGAATTCTTTCATAATGTGACTTCAAAAGAGACCCAGTTCCTTTTCCTGGCAGATATCCCAAGCGGCTACCCACTTTAGACCATTTCTTTTCTTTGGTAACCATTTCAAAACCTCCTTTGCTGGCAACAATCTGAAAAGAAAGTAAAAATTATTTAGGGAAAGAAGGTAGATTTTTGCATTCTGACTGTACAGCTCGATTGATAAATACAAAAAATTATTCTGGGCCTAGATTTCAAATTTCCTTTCAACAAATATCTGACAAAACTGAAACTTGTCAACATTTTAAAGTATGAAATGAGATGATTTTTTGAAGTTTTAAACTTTATTATTTAACTAATGCTATTTGCCTACCTTAAATAAACCAGGCATTCAAAACATTCAATGAATTTACACTTTGTATATTATGTACCTTGAGAAAACTAAACACATACACATCTCCAAACCATTAAGGAACTCAGCATAAAAGAATTAAATACAGACCAAAAATAGACATGAGAATAAGTGTTATATAAAAGAAACATAATTCCTGAAATTAAAAAATGTACCAAAAAACTAATAAAATTTAAAAAAAATCATCAAGCAAACAGTGGATTCATAGGCTATGCTGGAAAAGGGGCTATAATTTTTCATAAGAAGAAAAGTTTTACATGGAAGATTATAAGGAATACTATGGAAAGATCAGAGTATAGAATTACATTTACTGGAATGTAGCATAGAATGTGTTAACATAGAAAGTGATGAGATAAACTGGCCAATTTGGTGGAATGTTCACATCAAATCTGACACTGTGTATAATCTATATGTATCAAGGCCCCCTATCTTTTAGAAGCTGATATTGTACATCTCTCACACTCTAAAATTTAGGCAGTTTTCAGTTTCACTGACAACAGAATAAAAAGGACCATGACAGAGTTATTTAAACTCAAAGTAATTTTCCTCTCTGAATATGCATTACTGCATTTTAGTGTATCAAAACAATTAAAAAACAACAACCCAGAATTACTACATGATCCAGCAATTCCACCTCTATGTATACACCCAAAAGAACTGAAAGCTGGGATTCAGGCAGATGCCTGCATACCAGTGCTCACAGCGGTATTATTCACAACAGCCAAAAGGTGGAAACAACCCAAATGTCCATCAAGAGATTAATGGATAAACAAAATGTGGTATACACATACAAGAAAATATTTCTCAGCCACAAAAAAGGAATACAATTCTGGTACATGTGACAACATGGATGAACTTTGAAAACATTATGCTAAGTGAAATAAATCAAACACAAAAGGATGATTATTGTATGATTACATTTATGTGACACACCTAGAGTAAGCAAATTCACAGAGAAAGTAGAATAGAGGCTTTACCAGGGGATTTAGGGAGGGGTAAGTTCTGGAAATGGATAGTAGTGATTGATGGTTGTACAACATTCTGAATGTGCTTCATGTCATTATATTGTACCATTAAAAATGGCTAATTTTGTTATATATATATGTTACCACAATTTTTTTAAAGGCTAATAGCATGTACTCTGCAGCCAGACCAAGAGTTTAAATACTAGCTCTGCTACTTAACAGTTGTATGACCTTAGGTAAATTATATAACTTGCATCTCAAATCCCTTACTATTTAAAAAGTTGTAGTAACAGCACCTACACCTGCCCTGTCCAGGCAACTCAGTTGGTTGGAGCACTGTGCCATACACCAAAATGCTATGGGTTCAATGCCCAGTCAGGACACATACCTAACATTGCAGGTTCAACACCCAGTCGGGGCACATCCAGCGGGCAACCAATCAATGTTTGCTTCTTATATTGATGTTTGTTTTTCCCCCCTCTCCCCTCCCCTGCCCCAGGTTTCCTCTCTTTCTAAAATCAATGAAACATAGCCTCAGGTGAGGATTTAAAAAATAGTACCTACACCTCATTATGCAACTGTTGTGAAGATAAATGAAATAAATTAACATGAGAAGCACCAGAACACAGTTAAGTGCTATATCAATATTATCTGTATTATAAATGTCTATGTGTGTGAACAAGTGTGTGTGTGGGAGGGGGATACACATGGTATAAATAAGTTAAGAAAATGTTTTCAACTCATGTGATCTAGGATACCATTATAGACGAAGAAGAACCTATAGCCAAAGTAAAATTTTTCTTTAGTGAAATATCTGAAAGCTTGGTAGAAACACACACAAGTTCACATAAACAAGAGTTAAACAGATCTCTAATCCTTCAGCTTCTCTTATCATATCCTCAGAGTAGCTCTTCGGTCAAAACCTAACCAGGAAAATTATAAAGAGAGAAATAATATACTTTCAAATTCTGTGGTACGGAAGACAATGAGGGTAGCTTAAAGTGAGGGCTGTCGGGAAGCAAATGGATAAATTAAAATGCCATTCTTTACAGGGCACCAATCAGCATGGCAATGGTGAATGTAGCCCAGCACTGAACCAGAAAACCTATCAGGCAGAAGGCAGCACACAGGACCCAGGCCCACAGATCAACCTTCCCATGGGGAACCAGGCTGGCACTGTACCTAGGCTGCTTTAAGGCTTGCTTTTGCTAAAACTCCCTCACTCTGAGTTAAGACTGTAGATGTTTAATGTATATCTCTGAAGCAACTCCCTAAAGTCTGTGCTAAGCCATCCCAAGGATGGAATGTAACCAGATCAATCACTTTTATCATTCCCTTAAATTTGCAACATTTTTTTCTTTGTTATATGTAAGAAGGAATAACTTAAAGTAAACCTAAGAATAAAAAATGAGAACCTTCTTTGATGTAATGCTACTGGAAAGCAATGAAAGCCTCTCCAGGCAAGGGTCAAGGTGCTCTCTCTCTCAGAGAGTGGCCATGCCGTCCCTTTTTCTCCAAAGGACTTCTGCAGTCCATGTGAATTTGTTCATTGCAGCCACCACATACAGACCCTGCTGGCCAGAGTATGCATCAGTTCTTTCATATACTTCCATTGCTTCTATACTATCAGCTACTGTTCTAGGTGCCTGACATATGTCTGTGAATAAAATAAAATATTTGCCTTCATGGAGCTTAGATTCTATTAGAAGACACACAATAAACATAATATGTAAATTCTGAAGTGATAAATCCTGTGGAAGAAAATTTAAAAAGCAGTTAAAAGGCCTCATGAGGACATGCAGCAAGGCAGCCACTGGCAGACCAGGTGAGACAATGGCTGGCAGAGTGGACAGTCCCACAATCGCGTGCAGATAAACTAAGGAGAACAAATGGGGATTGAGACAGACTGCACAACACAAGGTTCCAGTGTGGGGAAATATAGTCTCAAAAACTCTGATTAAAAGCCTGAAAGGGTTGAGGAGGCCGGAGAAACTCCCAGCCTCACAGGAGAGTTCACTGGAGACCCACGGGGTCCTAGAACATACACAAAGCCACCCACCTGGAAATCAGCACCCAAAGGGCCCAATTTGATTGTGGGTAGTGGGGGAAGTGACTGAAAACCAACAGAGAGCAGAGCAAGCAGCATTGTTCCCTCTGAAACCCCTCCCCCACACATAGCGTCACATCCAGAAACATGGGTTGCAATGCCCTAGTGAATACCTAAAGCTCCACTCCTCACTACGTAACAGATGGGCCGAGACAAAACAAAATGTCCCAAATGAAAGAACAGATCAAAGCTCCTGAAAACATACAACTAAGTGATGAAGAGACAGCCAACCTATTAGATGCACAGTTCAAAACAACGGTGGTTAGGATGCTCACAGAAATGGTTGAGTATGGTCACAAAACACAGAAAAAAGTGAAGGCTATGCAAAGTGAAATAAAGAAAAATGTACAGAAAAATAACAGTGAAGGGAAGGAAACCAAGACTCAGATCAACAGTTTGGATCTAAAGGAAGAAATAAACATTCAACCAGAAAAGAATGAACAAACAAGAATTCACAGCAGGGGCGGGGGGGGGGGGGCCTGGGATAGGAGAAATAGACAAAAAAACTGTACTTGAAAAATAAATAAAATTTTTTTAAAAATTCAAAAAAATGGGGAGAGGCTTAGTAACCTCTGGGAAAACTTTAGACACCCGAATCATAGTGGTGCCAGAAGAGGAGGAAGAGCAAGAAACTGAAAACTTATTTGAAAAAATAATGAAGAACTTCCCTAATCTGGCAAAGGAAATAGACTTTCAGGAAGTCCAGGAAGCTCAGAGAGTACCAAAGAAGCTCGACCCAAATAAGCATATACCAACATACATCATCATTACATTAGCCAAGATTAAAATGAAGGAGAGAATCCTAGAAGCAGCAAGAGATAAGGGGACAGTCACCTACAAAGGAGTTCCCATCAGACTGGCAGCGGATTTCTCAAAAGAGACCTTACAGGCAAGAAGGGGCTGGAAAGAAGTATTCCAAGTCATGAAAGGCAAGGACCTACAACCAAGATGACTCTATCCAGCAAAGCTCTCATTTAGAATGGAAGGGCAGATAAAGTGCTTTCAAGATAAGGTCAAGTTAAAGGAGTTCATCATCACCAAGCCTTTATTATATGAAATGTTAAAGGGACTTATCTAAGAAAAAGGAGATAAAAAAATATGAACAGTAAAATGGCAACAAACTCAGTTATTAACTGAACCTAAAAGAAAAACAAAAATCAAACTATGCACACCACTAGAACAGGAACAGAATAACAGAAATGGAGATCACTTGGAGGGTTTTCAGAGGGGCGGTGGAGGAGAGTGAATGGGGGAAATGGTGCAGGGAATAAGAAACATAACTAGTAGGTAGAAAAGAGACACGGGGAGGTTAACAATAGTATAGGCCTGTAGGAAAAGTAGAAGCCAAAAAAAGTATATGTATGACCCAAAGACACTAACTAAAGGAGGGGAATGTGGGTGGGAGGGGATGTGCAGGGTGGAGGGGAATAAAGGGGGAAAAATGGGACAACTGTAATAGCATAATCAATAAAATATATTTAAAAAAGAAAATTTCAGAAATAAACAATTCATAAGTTTTAAATTGTAAAAAAAGGCCTCGTGAGTAGAAGAGTGAGTGTAAACTAAAGTATTCATTAGTCAAAAAAAGCCTCATGACAAAGGTGAAATCTGAGCAAAAATGTGAAAGGAGTAAAGCAGTCACCCAAAGAGGTATGTAGGAACTAGCCA